AAATTCCTGCGCGCGGGACGCGGCACGCGCGAGACATTCTCGGAATTCATGCGAGCGGGACGTGAAAACAAGCATTTCGCCTGAAACATCCTTTGAATTCTGGCCCCCCACGAAGCCCCCGCTCGAGACATCCCCCAACTCTGCAAAACCAGCGTTTCGCTCGAGACATCCTCAACAAATTCTGAAAAACAAGCGTTTCGCTCGAGAAATCCCCAAAAATAATTCCGCCGGCCTTCTCCCTGCGCGTAATTCATCGCAGAATAATTCCGCCGGCCCTCTTCCCGTCGATTCCGGAGGCAAACTTCCAAAAGAGAACCCTGAGCCCACGCCCTTTCCGGGAAAAACACACACTGTGGGAAAAAAAACACTGTGGGAACACACACACACACACAAACACTGTGGGGAAAACACACACACTACGGGAAAACACACACGCACACACAACAAAACATGATCGACCCACGAACCCGGAAAGGAATATAGACATGTAAGGCATGGCAACGTTTGGAAGACACCTGATTGGGCGACGGGCAAACGCAATGCTGAGTGTATCGATCTTGAGGTACCGTGCCGAGGGCTGTGCTGTGCAGCGCCGTGCTGAATTGCGATGTGCCATGCCGCGATTGTGCTCTATAGCGTTGTGGATCGAGGCCTCCTTTGCATCCGAGTCCTGACCGAATTGATCTGGATCTTAAGCTCGAGCTGCCTCAGCACATAGTAGCTGCCCTAGAGCTACTTGACAGGGGAACATGCCAGGAGGCCGCGCCGCGGAACGTCCCAAGGGACGCGCCAGGCGACGTGCCAAGGGACGTGCCACGAAGACGCACCGCGGGACGTGCCGAGGGGACGCGCTACGGAACGTGCCAATGGACGTGCCACGGGACGTGCCAGGGGACGCGCCGCGCGACGTGCCAGGGGGACTCGCCACGGGACGCGCCACGGAACGTGCCAGATTGCAATGCTGAGTGTATCGATCTTGAGGTACCGTGCCGAGGGCAATGCTGTGCTGCGCTGTGCTAAACTGCCATGTGCCATGCCGCGATTGTGCTCTATAGCGTTGTGGATCAAGGCCTCCTTTGCATCCGAGTCCTGACCGAACTGATCTGGGTCTTCAGCTCGAGCTGCCTCAGCACATAGTAGCTGCCCCAGAGCTACTTGACAGGGGATCATGCCAGGAGGCCGCGCCGCGGAACGTCCCAAGGGACGCGCCAGGCGACGTGCCAGGGGACGTGACACGGGGACGCACCGCGGGACGTGCCGAGGGGACGCGCTACGGAACGTGCCAATGGACGTGCCAATGGACGTGCCACGGGACGTGCCAGGGGACGCGCCGCGCGACGTGCCAGGGGGACTCGCCACGGGACGCTACGGAACCTTAAAATGCATAGTCATTGCTCGGAGCAACCATGTTAGATATCCCTTGGATGGCCTAGACACATAAAAACACATGGTGCCAGCCCGGGAAACCATGCTATATACACTTCTGAATAGCCTGGATTCGTTAAAACACATGGCCATTGCTCAGAACAATCATGTTAGATACCCCCTTTGGGTGGCCTGGATACGCAAAAACACGTGATTCAAGCTCGGGACAACCATGTTAGATATCCCCCTGGGTGGCCTGGACACGTACAATCACATGGTTCCAGCTCGGGACCACCATGTTAGAAACCCCTTTGGGTGGCCTGCACACGTAAAAACGTGTGATCCAGCCCACCCAGGGGGGATATCTAACATGCGGTCGTCTGGAGCACAGGAGGGCCCAGGAACGCCCAGAGGCGCCTCGACCAAAAAGTAAACGAATCGATACCACATACAAATAAACTCTCGACGTCCCGTTCCGAGTCCCAGGAAGGATCCAGGAGGCCCATGTTAGATACCCCTTGGGTGGCCTGGACACGTGAAAACACGTGGTTCCAGCTCAGGACTACCATGTTAGATACCCCCTGGGTGGCGTGGACACGTGAAAACACGCGGTTCCAGCTCGGGACCACCATGTAGATATTCACTTGGGTGGCCTGCACACGTGAAAACACGTGGTTCCAGCGCGGGACCACCATGTTAGCTACCCCCTGGGTGGCCTGGACACGTGAAAACACGTGGTTCCAGCTCGGGACCGCCATGTTAGATACCTCATGGGTGGCTTGGACACGTGGTTCCAGCTCAGGACCACCATGTTAGATACCCCCCTGGGTGGCGTGGACACGAAAACACCTGGTTCCAGCGCGGGGCCACCATGTTAAATACACCCTCTGGGCGACCTGGGCACGTGAAAACACATGGTTCCAGCTCGGGACCACCATCTTAGACACCCCTTGGGTGGCCTCGACAGGTGAAGCACGTGGTTGCAGCTCGGGACCAACATGTTAGATACCCACCTGGGTGGCCTGTACACGTGAAAACACGTGGCTCCAGCTCGGGACCACCATGTTAGATACCCACCTGGGTGCCCTGGACACGTGAAGCGACGTGGTGCCAGCTCGGGCAGAACATGTTAGATACCCACCTGTGTGGCCAATGGAAATCCTCGAAAAACAAACGAATTAGTCGAGACATCCTCGAAAGTCCTGAATGCGGGACGCGGCACGCGCGAGACATCCTCGGAATTCCTACGCGGGGCGCTTTTCCGTGTCGCGGTCGGCTCTGCAAAACCAGCGTTTTCGCTTGAGACATCCTCAACAAATTCTGAAAACAACGTTTCGCTCGAGACATCCCCAACTCTGCAAAACCAGCGTTTCGCTCGAGACATCCTCAACAAATTCTGAAACACAAGCGTTTCGCTCGAGACATCCTCAAAAATAATTCCGCCGGCCCTCTTCCCGCACGTAATTTATCGCAGAATAATTCCGCCGGCCCTCTTCCCGCCACTTCCGGGGGTGAACGACTAAAAGAGAACCCTGGGCTTCAGCCCTTTCCGGGAAAAATACGCTGTGGGAAAACACACACACACTGTAAGAACACACACATTGTTTTTTTTTCCCACAGTGTGTTTTTTTTTTCCCACGGTGTGTTTTTTCCCACGCACCCTCCAGTGGATCGTTCCTCGGCGTCAGGGTCAAGTCGGGCGTGCCCTTCTACAGGAGGAGTAGTCAGGAATAGCCAAAAATAGTCGGGGGACGATGTTCTCACTGTGTTTGATTCTTTGTGCGTATGTTCTGCATGTTTTGAATTTTTCGTCCAAAATCCGCCTGTAGGAAAACACGCCAACCCTAACATCCAAGAAAAGTGGCGGTGTATGAATCACCACGGAGAGCCAGCGACCTTATACACCGGCACCCTGCCCGAAAGCACATGCAAAGTTCGTCGAGAACATGTCCGTGCGTATATATGCTGTTCGCGGCGCCGAAGGGGAGGTGAGAGGGAACAGGCCCTCTCAGAAGACGGCGCGGTATCCCTCCGCCCTGCTGCCCAGGCACAGAACACACATGACCACAACCACAATGAGATAAGTTGTTTCGGGAGGGTCCCTCGTGGGAGAACCCACAAGCCTCGACGTGAGCACTCTGGCTGTGGCTGTGGTGTACGCCGTTGGTCTGGGCGTTCCGGCAGCTGTTAGCGTGCGCAGGACATCCCCGCAGACTTTAGTCGTCCGGATACGGCCGTCTTGACATGCAAGACGCACCGTGGTCACCACGTCCGTGTTTATCTTTTGCGTGTTATACCAACGTGCCGCTCGCTCCGTCCGCTCCTCTTTTCGGCCGCGCCCTCCCCCTGCTCCTCCTCCTGCATGAGGGTAATTCGCTCTAACGGCATCCCCGCTTAGGCACCCCATCGCCAGCGCAGACGTTCCTTGCCTGGCCACGTTTTGGCGAACACATCGCGCCAAGCGTACGTTCTCAATCTGCGTGCTGAGCACCGTGTCAGCTCGCTGCGGGCTGCGCGTTGCGCATCGGAGCGGCCGAGCCGCCCTAGGCAGTGTCCTCGCTGTGGCTGTGGTCGCCTGCTGCCCACCGCCTTCTCGGACGCCCCAATGCGTCCTCGGAGAAGGCTCGGCAGGCTTCTGCGAGAGAGCCGGTGCCCCGTGGGGGCCCGCTTCCCTCTGCTGGAAAGCAAGAAAACACGCCATAAACATGAAACTTTCGGCGCTCCGCGCGGATTTCTTGGATCGGCGCCTGGGGACCCCCGGCGGCGCCTCCGGCGCCGCCCCTGGCGCGCTCCGCGCGACAGGAAGAGGGGGTCTGGCGCGGATCCCAGAAATCCGTGAGGAGCGCCAAAAGTTTGTGTTTTTGGCGTTTTTTCTTCTTCTATTCCCTCTGTCTTCCCCCACCGGCGCGCCGCTGGTCCCCGTCATGTTATCCCGACCCCCTCCCCCCTCCCTCAACCGTCAAGCAGCATAGAGCCCCTAAGCCTGATAACACAAGGAGGTCGTGCCATGACTTGGGTCATGGGTTTTTAGAGTTACTCCTGAGCTTGTGAGTGGTTTCGTCCGTGTCCGTGACATCTGCCAAGAAGACCCCTTTATCTCTATTGTTCTTGGCCCTCCCAGCTTAAGTCTCTTTCCATTGGATTAGGGCACATGTATTGATCATCGCCCAAGAGCCGACTTCGATCCGTTCGATCCGATTCAATACCGATATCGGCCAGCCCGATCCGATTCGATTCCGATTTCCCGACGATCCACTGCGGCCCGGCCCGATGCTCGCATGGCGTTGCTGTGCCTCTGCACGCAGCCGATGCGATCCGATTCCCACTCCGCGCCGATGCAGCCCGATTCAACGCACATCTCGATCTGACCCGATCTCACGATCCGTTGCTGACTGATCATGCCTCCCCCTCGGTCAGCCACGCGCAGAGGGTTGCAGGGGGAGGGGGGAAGGCGTCCTGGAAATACCCTGCTCATTAGACGGCGCGGTCCTCATCTGCAGATGCAAGGCGGGCGCCCTCTGAGGAGCAGCCTCCTACGAGAGGCCTTCCCCCCTCCCCCTGCCCCCCTTGAGCGCGCCGCCACCCGCCTCCCCCATCGTGCCCTGCGCGCGGGAGGCGGGTGGGCGCCGCCGGAGGCAAGACGGAGGCCTCGCCGTGCAGGAGCTGGATTACCACGACGTCTTCGGGGTCGACGGCTCCGATCTCCTCGGCTCCGCGGGCGGCTCGGTCAACAGCGAGGACATCCCCATCCCCCAGGCCCGCTCTCCCTCCTCGTCTTCCTCGCCTTCCTCGCCTCCTCCTCCTCCCTTCTCCTCTTCTCGCCGGTGCTGAATTACTTCGCGGAAGTCACGCCGTTGGTCAGGTTTGCCGCATACCGCCACGGAGTGCACGGGTTTACTCGAGAGATGTTGCGGTCGGCCCCCCATGCTTTTCATATTTTCATCTAGAACACGAAAATCACGATGCCATCACCCAGGCAGGGTTCGCGCGGCCCCCCATCGCTCTGGTGCATGAATGCCTGGTGCAGTTTGGTGTGCTTTCTGTTGTGAGCGCATGTCGATGTCATTGTTTGCGAGAGTCTACGTCGAATGTGTTTGCCCTGATCCGCGCGCTATGACCATGCATATATCGAAGATGCACTTCCAAAGTCCGAGAGGGCGAGAGGGTAGTCAGCATGGAACAGACTGAGATGTCTGTGTTTCGTTTTGCTGTGTCCCTTCGTACGCTGTGCGGGCATGTTGGGTGATTCGTGGGAGTCTCTGGGCGGCTACTGTGGCGTCTTGACTCCCCCTCTTGGCGATCCTTATGCACTTTTGGGTGTCTTCGAGCGCGTTTGGGCTCCACTTGGGGGGGATACCTTGGGCAATTTGGGGGGAGACACATTGAGGCCTCAGGGCTCGCATGGGAAGCGAAAGTTTGAGAAACCCCAAATCACACAAGTATATGGGCCTTGCACATGACGCAACCACACGCAGCTGCGAGATGCGCAAGGCGCGGCCCCCTCGTCACAGTCATAGACGACGCGCGTCCTGAGGCTTTCTGTGGAGCTCCCTATGGGGCCACGGCACGTGTGAGGGGTGTGCCGAATTGGCCAAGGAGGCGACATGCGGACTTTGCAACTGGGGCCTTCGGTGCAGCTGCCTATGGGGTTAGGAAACGTGTGAGTCGTTTGCCGAAATTGTTGAAGCGCCGACATGCGGACTTTGCCAATGGGGCCTTTGCTTGAGCTCCCCCAGTGTCCACGACACGTGTGAGGCGTGTGCAGGAATGTTCGGGCGCGGCGACATGCGGACTCTGCCAATGGGGCAATCGGTGGAAATCCCCATGGGGCCACGACCCCACGCGCCGAAAACTGAGAAACGGACCCGTCGTTCTCGTTTCGTGGCTCGAGGGGCTCTGGGGGTGGAGGCGACCCCCTGTGTTGGAGATGGTCCCCATTCCCAGACCTCCAGGCACCGCCTGCCGCCGCGCATTTGCCGAGCGGCGCCCTGTGGGAGGGCCGGCCGTGGCAGGGCCGGGGCTGCGCGCGCGCGCGCGCCTGCTGCGGGGGCACCACAGGGAACGCAGCAGGCGCCCTCGTTCGGCAGAGGCCGCCGAGGTCGGCCGCTGCGGCGCCCGCGACGGGCCCGTGCCCTCGGGAGGGGCGGGGGGGGGGAGGGGCTCGGGAGGGAGGGGGGGGGGGGGGGCATCGCTCCCGATGCCCGAGGCTTCGGGCTCGAGCTCCTCGGCGAGTGCTCTCGGCGGCCCCCGATGCTCGAGGTCTCGGGCTCGAGCTCTCCGAGCGCCCTCGGCGGCCCTCGGCGGCCCTCCGGCCCCCGACGGGGGTGCCCTCCGGCGGCGGCGTCTCGCAGAGGGCGCCCGGCAGAGGGGGGCTCGGGTCGCTCCGGGAGGCACCGGCCGCGGGAGGCCCGAGCCGTGGCCCAGAGGCCAGCAGGAGGAGGAGGGGGAGCAGGAGGAGCAGGAGGAGGAGGAGGAGGAGGAGAAGGAGGAGGAGGAGGAGGAGGAGGAGGAGGAGGAGGAGGAGGGGGAGGAGGGGGAGGAGGGCGGTGGGCTCAGGTCGAGCCTTGTCCCCTTGCAGGGGGAGCGGAGGTGGGCAGACCTCCTACCCTGACGCGTCGATGAAGGAACTGGTCGTCCTCGGTTCGCGAGAGGGCGTCGCGGCCGTCATTTTTGCGGGCCCTGGTCCGTCGCTTTCGGTCCCAGGCCGTTTTCACGACGGTGAGGTTTACAAAAGGGAGGTTTGTCCACCGCCAAGAGGAGTATTCCAAAATGTTTTAGAAAATAGTCAGGGGACGGTATTTTGAGTACTTGTGTACACCTTTGAATATGTCTTCATCATTCTTTGAATTTTTCGCCCAAGATTCCCCTGTAGGAGGACATGCCCGATGAGGCATAGGCTCAAGGGGGGAGGCACTGACCCCCGATTGTCCATTCATCGGCGGTGGGGGCAATCGCAAGCATGGATTACGGGGGCGTGGATTAGCAACGGGTCCCGTTTCCAGAGGAAATCGCTGATTGCCGCCGCCGATCGAGGCGCCACCAGCCGCATTTTGGGGAGGTGCTGCCAAATCCATGGATCGCTAGTCCATGTTTGCGCGCCCCCGAGCGGTGGGGACCCGATAGCCCACCTTGCCCAGGAACGAGCGTTCTCGCCATCGGGGGCCTGCGGACGATGCGTCGCCGATTCCAATCCAATGTTTCCCCCCCTGAGCAGGTCCCCCCCCATCGTTCCCCCCTCAACCTGACCAGGCGGATATCCCCTCGGATGCCCCCTGGGGTATCCCCTGAAGTATCCCCTGGGGTATCCTCTGGGGTATCCCCTAGGGTATCCCTTGGGTTTCCCTCGGGGTATCCCCTGGGGTATCCCCTGGTGTATCCCCTGGGGTATCTCGAATTCATGTTTTTGTTGCGCAGGCTTGGTCGATCAGGCGGGCCCTCCCGCGATCAAGCCGCTACGCCCACGGGCAGGTTGCTGAGGCCCAGCCGACCCTGAACAGATTGGTGTGAGCCAGTGGTCTGTTTTGTTGCGTTGCGCGGACTTTCCGGCACCGCAAAGGCATTGCACGCAAGAAGTACTCAAAGACCCTCTCGCTGTACAGCCCCCGAGAGATAACAACCACCAATTAGGTAAATGTACTGCTGTTGTTTGCCAGGCGCTTGGCGGCGGTCACGCGCATACGATGCAGATGTGATTCAGACGCGACGTGGTGACGCATGGTGTGGTTTGCGACGTCGAGTTGTCACATCCGAGAGCCAGGGTGTACACATGTTGCGGCACGGTGTGATATGTGATCGGCACTGTCAGAAGGCATGAGAAAGCCACGCTAGTTGAGTTGAGCAGTTTCGGTGGGGTTGGGGTCAGCTTCTAAGTCTCTGCGCAGTGTAGCCACGAGGAGATCAATGAGATAGCCGGGAAGTGCTTACGGCGATGCGACCATGAGGTAGCTCCGTGGAGACTTCTTGGGTCGAAGTGTCTCATGCTACTCCCTGGTCCAGCAGTCTAGAACGGCGCCGCCGCCCTCGCCGAGGCCGCGTGGAGGGAGGCACTACGCAACGACGATGCACTACGAAATGATTTGGCACGTCAGCGCGATGCGCCGCAGGAGCCTGCAGGGAGTGCCGAGGCCGGGCGTGTCCGGATCTCGCCCCAGAGAGGCCAACAGTGTGGCCGAAGGGGAGGAGGAGGAGGAGGAGGAGGAGGAGGAGGAGGAGGAGGAGGAGGAGGAGCAGCAGGAGCACGAGCAGGAGCAGGAACAGGAACAGGAGCAGGAGCAGGAGGACGAGGACTAGGAGGAAGAGCAGGAGCAGGAGGAAAGGAGGAGGAGGAGGAGGAAGAGGAGGAGGAGGAGGAGGAGGGAGGAGGAGCAAGACGAGGGCTGCAGATCCGACGCGGGGCCATCGCAAGACGAAATATGCGCCCATCCCCTCAATTCCCCGCACCGGCCCCCCCCTCCTATCATCCGAAGGGTGGTCTCACAGGCCAATATTATCCTTGTCCTCCTCCTCCTCCTCCTCCTCCTCCTGCTCCTCCTCTTCCATTCCTGTTCCTTATAAATAACTCCTCCCTGTCGCACCCCGAGGCCGGTCGAAAGGGTGGGCCTGGCGTTTCGTTGGAGACTCTTTCATCTCCTCATCACTAATGACCCTGAAGCCTAAACATTGACAGCTGTTTCATACATGAACGGCGGGTTGTTTTCAAGATGTGGTTCTCGATTTAGCGTCGCGCACATCCGTTTTAAATATTTGCCAGAGCTTCACGGAATGAGGGCGACCCGTTTTCAAAATGGTGGTCTCGCTTTGGTGCTGTTTACATTTGTGCTGAAAGTTTGTAAAGATTTCACGGGTTGAGGGCGGCTCCTTTTCAAAATGGCGTTATATTCGCTTTTTTAACTTTTGAAAGAAATTCACGGCTTCCCATGATCAGCGTCGCAGCAATGGCGTTCTGGAAGGATTCTGGATTCTGAGGGTGCGACAGTTACGCTGGTTCGCGGTGTTGAAGTCCCAGAAATGGTGTTCTGGCACGAATCTTGATCGTCAAGATGCAACACTCAAGTTGATCCGTGGTTTTAGAATCCCGAGAACAATGTTTTGGCATTCTTCAAGGTCTTCAAACGACAGTTCACTCAGTGGAAATGACCCGCTGTAGGGGCCTATGAAGAGGGAGTTTGGAGGGAGGGTTTATTTCAACATCGTTGATGACTCTTGGTTTACATTGGTCCGCATCCTCCTCCTCATCATCCTCCTCCTCCTCCCCCTCCTCCTCCCCGTCGTCGTCATCATTATCATCATCATCAGCAGCAGCATTAACATCCGCCCCTCCCCTTCTCATCCCCACATGCCCTCCCATCCCTCCTCACGCGTTCCTCACTTCTCATTTCTCGTGTGTGTTTCGTCTTCCCGCTTCATCTTCCGCCAGCCCGCCTTCCTCTCTCTTCCCCATCTTCTTCCTGAGTCCATCCACACTCCACCCGCCCATCTCCCTTGTCCTCGTTCTCCATCCTACTCCCTCTTCGCCCTCCTTCGTTTCCTCCTTCCTTATCGTGCCTCACAGTTGTCCCTGCTCGCTCATCAATTCTCCCCCTGCTCGAACATCCGCCGTCCTCCTCCTCCTCGTCCTCCTCCTCCTCCTTCGCATCCTCGTCCTCGTCGTCATCAGCAGCAGCATCAGCATCAGCAGCAGTAACATCAGCGTCAGTATCAGCATCATCATGCGCATCGTCATCATCATCATCATCATCATCATCACCAGCATCATCATTATCATTATCATCATCATATTAGCATGGAGTGATGCGATTTCACGACTGTACATAAAGTACCTAATCATCATAATCATTAGCATCATCAACTTCATCATCACCATCCTCATCCTCATCCTCACCATCATCATCAGCATCACCATCATCAAACACATCAGCGGCACCATCAGCATTGTCATCACCATCATCAGCCTCAGAATCATCATCAGCAGCACCATCATCATTCTCATTATCAGAATCGTCATCGTCACCACATCAGCTGCATCATCATAATCATCAGCATCATCAACATCAGCACCACCTTGTACTTATGATCATCAGCATATCATCATAGTTCCCTACCTAGGCTCTGCCTAGAAGGGTTCTTACTGTGTAAGTTTAAAGGGCCGGGCAGTGGGAACCGGCCTGGGCGGTTCCCCCGGCATCCGCCCCGCGGTTCCCCCAGTTACGTCCCCTCAGCTTAGCGTTGCTTATCACATCTTAGCTTGGCTTATTTCATCTTAGCTTAGCTTAGCTTCATCTTAGCTCAGGTTTATCTTAGCTTAACTTACCTTCATCTTAGCTTCGCTGTGTTTTATCATAGCAGAGCACAGCATAGCATAGCGTAGCATAGCCTGGCGCAGCACAGCATATCATAGCATGGTCCAGCATATCATAGCATAGCGCAGCATAGCATAGCATACCATAGCATAGCATAGCGCAGCACAGCACAGCACAGCACAGCGCAGCATAGCATAGCATAGCATAGCAGAGCAGAGCATAGCATAGCACAGCAGCAAAGCTAAGGCAAAGCAACAGCAGCGACAGCAAAGCAAAGCACAAGCAACGCAAAGCAAAACAAAGCAAAAGCAAAAGCAAAGCAAAGGAAAGGCAAAGCAAAAGCAGTGCTCGACAGGAAGGATGGGGGTAATTCCCTACCTAGGCTCTGCCTAGAGGGTTAGCTTAGCTTAGCTTGGCATAGCGCAGCGCTGCATTAGCATAGCATAGCATAGCATAACATAGCCAAGCATTGCATAGCATATCATAGCGCAGCATAGCATAGCATAACATAGCATAGCGTACCATTGCATAGCATACCATACCATAGCATAACGCAGCTTAGCATAGCATAGTATAGCTTAGCATAGCACAGCGCAGCATGCCATACCATAGCTTAGCATATCATAGCATATCATAGCATAGCGCAACATAGCATAGCATAGCATAGCAAAGTATAGCGCAGCATAGCATGGCATAGCTTAGCATAGCATAGCATAACATAGCAACTAATGCTGCTTTCCTAGGGGCTCCAACGTCTAGGTAGGGTCGCACTGGGGCAATCATCAGCCTCATTATCATCAGCATCGTCATCATCATCATCATCATCATCATCATCACCATCACCATCATCACCACCACCATCGTCATCATCACCATCCCTATCAGCATCAACATCGTCATCATCATCAGCAGCATCATCATAATACCCATCGTCAACACCACCACCAGCATCATCAGTAGCATAGTCCTCATCATCGCCGCCACCATCATCATCAGCCGCATCAGCATCATAATGATCGTCATCAGCATCATCATCATCATCATCATCATCACCATCAGCATCATCATCATTCTCTACGGCTTCCTGTCTTTCTCCTCCTCCTCAACCTCCATTCCTTCTAAGTTTTAGGATCCCCCTCGCGCTCGTTTCGTCTTCTTCCCTAATCGCCCTCGTCCGTCTTTGTCTCACCCTCCCCATCTTCCATCGCCTCCTCCTCCTCCTCCTGCTTCTCCGCATCCCTATATCGTCCCCGCCGCCCTCCCTAGTTCTTCTCATTCTCCTTCCCGTATTCAGTGTCCTTCTTCTCGTCCTCTTCCTCCTCTTGATTCCTCTTAGCCTTCCTGCAGGAACCTGACAGTGGGTTCCTTGCAAACAGTTCCCCGCGGCTTACTCGCTCCATCCTGGCCACTGGCAGGAAGAAGAACATTGTTTTTTCCCTCTTCACGGTTCCAGCCAACGACAGACAGTCTTCTGCCATACCGTCATGTTTTGGGATGGTGTCGACCGTTGAACCTCTCTACAGCCACCTCGGTTTCCAGCAATTCGTTGATTGTCGTTTTATCTATCAGTATTGGTTGTTCGGTATGTTTGAGCCTACAGGCCGTTTGGAATCCTCGTCTACCGTCTTATCATTCTCCCTCCTCCTCACCTCTCCTCCACCGTTCCTTCTCATCTTTCCTCCTCCCCCCCTCATCCCTTCTCCATCCTCCCTCTCCTACCTACCGTCTCCATGGATGTCTACTATAACTTGATGCCTTTGCAGCATGTTTTGTTCTTGCGTTGCCATTCTGAGTACGCGCTGGCCGCAATGCCACCGTCCACCACCACAATAACTACTTCCCTCATCCCTCATCCCTCCTTCCTTCCCTTCGACCTGCCCCCCCCCCCCCTGTAATTCTCCCTCACGCGCCCCATTCGTGACCCTTCCCTCCCCCCTTCCCCCCTTCCCTTCCCCCTTCCCTTCCCCCTTCCCTCCCCCCTTCCCTCAGGTCCGAAATGGAGGAAAATATAACATCACCAATCATCACGACCGCAACCCTGGACCTCATCTTTCTGCTGCTGTTTTTTTGTTCCGAGCCAGGTCGATCTGTGTTGGCCCTGGGGCTCGAAGCTGGGCGAAAGCCAACGGGTGAGAGCGAGTTGCGGTTCAGGGTTCGTGGGCAGACAAGTTCCCCCCCCGTTCCCCTCCGCAGGAGCTCATGACCTGACAGCTATCACCCATGCCTTCTCTGCGAGCCCCAGGCGTCTCGCGGTGGAGAGCCAGGATGGCCATGGACGTGTGCTGTCGCATGGGGGTCCCCGCTCGAACAGGGAACCCCCCTCGGGGCGCGACGGCTCGTACCCACAGCTGTCGTGCCCTCCTCGCCTTGCCCCCTCCCCAGTCCTACTCTCCATAGTCCAGGCCTCCTAGATGGGGTCCGAGTAGATGGGGTCGGAGGATTGCGCCGTATCGTCGATACATCGGCGATGTGTCTCGATGTGAAGCCCGATTCTCTCTACGCTGGAGTCGCCGATGCATCGCCGATGTCGCCTGTGCATCGCGGATGCATCGCCGATGTATCGGCGATGCGGTGCGATCCTCCGATCCCCTCTACGTCGACCCCGTCCAGGAGGCCTCCCCGTGGGTCTGAGCGTGTGCTGCTCCCCCAGCAGGAGCGGCGCGGCTCGCAGGAGCGGCTGACCTGCGCGACGCCCGGCTGCGGCCTGCTCAGCCAGGTCGACGACCGCTACTGCTGCAGGCGCGGCGCCCCCCCGCCGCGGCCGACGCCGCGCCTCGCCGCCTTCTCCGCGCCCCGCCGTCGTCTTGGCCACTGCCGCCGTCCTGGTCATCGTCGCCGCCGTCGTGGCCATCGTCGCCTGCGTCGTCGCGCCGCGTCGCCACCGTTCGGCCACGCGCAGAAGGGGGGCAGGGGTGAGGGCGGAAGGCGTCTCTGAGGCACCCGTGCCTCTTCGAGGGCGCAGGCCTTGTCTGTGGATGTGGGGCCCGCGCCCTCCGAGAAGCAGCCTCCCTCTGAGAAGCCCTCCCCCCCCCCGCCCTGCACCACCCTGCGCGCCGCCAGACCTTGGTGGGTTTCGGGCGTTCCCGTCGGCTGTCGGCAGTGCCCGGGCCCTGGGGCGCGCTCCGGCTGCGCCTCGCCGAGGGCGTGCCGAGCGGCCGCCGAAGCCCCGAGGTAGGGCCCGAAAGCTGCCGGAGCTGGACGACGCCAACCACGGGGGGGGGGGCTCGGGTCGGACGCACGGGGGTCTTCGACGTTCCGAGGTTCGAGGTGTTAGAGAGTTTTCGTCGGTTCTCGGCGTTTCCCCAGCCTCGGGATGCGTTCCGCCAGCTGCGCCTCGCCGAGAGCGTTCCGGGGGTGCCAGAATCGCCACGAACGGCCGTTGGAGGCCCAAGTTATGACAAGACTATCACCAAGGTTGTACGACGCCGACCCTGTATCAAGGAGGAGGACGACGACAACGACGACGACCTCGACAAAGAGTAGTGGTTGAAGGAATAGGACGAGGAGGAGGAAGAGGAGGATCATAAGGAGGAGGAGGAGGAGGAGGACCAGTGTAAACCCAAGAGTCATCAACGATGTAAGAATTAACCCTCCCTCCAAGCTCCCTCTTCATAGGCCCCTACAACGGTTCATTTCCATTGAGGGAACTGCCTCGTTGGAAGACGACCGTTCGAAGACCCAGAAGCATGCTAAAACAGTGTTCTCGGGATTTCAACGTTACGGATCAACCTGACTGCTTGGTCTTGACGATCCAGAATCGTGCCATAACGCCATTTTTGGGACTTCAACATCGCGAGACAACACAAGTGTTGCACCCGATTGTTCCAGAATCTTTCCAAAATACCATTTCTGTACGTTGATCATGCGAATCTGTGAAACTCTGACGAATTTTGAAAACGAATGTACGCGCCGCGAAGGCGAGAGCCACATTTTGTAAAGGAACCGCCCTCAAACCGTGAAGCTCTTGCAAAGTTTGAACACGAATGTGCGCGGCGCTGAGGTGAGAGCAACATCTTGAAAACGATCCGCCCTCAACCCGTGAAGCACTTGTAAATGTTTACAACGAATGTGCGCGGCGCTAAGGCGAGCGCCACATTTGGAAAACCACTCGCCCTCAATCCGTGAAACACTTGCAAATGTTTTAAACGAATGTGCGCGGCGCTACGGCGAGAGCCACATTTTGAAAACCACCCGCCTTCAATCCGTGAAAGTCTTGCAAATGTTTAAAACGAATGTGCGCGGCGCTAAGGCGAGAGCCACATGTGGAAGCCACCCGCTTTCAATCCGTGAAACTCTTACAGTTTGTTTGCACGAATGTGCGCGGCGCTCAGGCGAGAGTCACATTTTGAAAACCACCCGCGCTCCGTCTGTGAAATTGCTGTCAATTTGTAAGTTTCAAAGTCAGAAATAGTGAGGAAATTTCAGGCGAAACGCCCCGACCACTCTAAACACTGGCCCCAGGGTGCGACAAGGAGAAGTTATTGATAAGGAAAAGGAATAGAGTAGGAGGAGGAGGAGGAGGAGGAGGAGGAGGAGGAGGAGGAGGAGGAGGAGGAGGAGGAGGAGGGAGGAGGAGGAGAAGGGAGGAGGGAGGGCCAGTTGAGACAATGGTAGTCGGACTTCGGGGTGGCCATTTGCCGCCACGGCCGGACGCAGCTTGGAAAGCTGGTGCACTTGGGCCCCAGGAGGGGTCTCCGGGCCCCGCAGGGGGGGGGTCTCCCTCGTGCCCCCCGGCCTTCCTCTCCCTCCCCGCTTCCCTCCCCTTTCCCTCCATCCCACCACTCCCCCTAGTCTCCCTCCCCCCTCATCCGTCCATCTCCCCTCCCATCCTCCCCCCTCCCCCCTCACACCCCCCTCCCTCTCCTGTCCCCCCTCCACTCCACCCTCCCTCCACCCCACCGCTCCCCCCTCGTCTCACTCGTCCCCCCGTCCTGCCTCTCCCCCTCCATCCCCCCTCCACTCCACCCTCCCTCCACCCCACCACTTCCCCCTCGTCTCACTCGTCCCCCGTCCTGCCTCTCCCCCCCCACCTCCCTCCTCCCTGCACTCCACCCTTCCTCCCTCCACCCTCCACCCTCCACCCTCCCCCCTCCCTCCCCCCTCCACAATTACTCAATACGAAAATACTCTCCCTCTTCCCCTGATGGCGTCCGGGTGATGGCCGCGCACCCTCCGCGTACTGTTTTTTAACACACAGGATGCCCGGGAAATCCCGGGAAACGACTCTCGCTGAGGCGCCGGCGTCATTTTTGTCCCAAAATGTTGCTCTCGTTGAGGCGCCGGCCTCATTTCTGCTCCCGAATCGTTCCGAATCGTGCTCCCGCTGCAGCGTGGGCCTCATTTTCGGATCGGTGTTGGGCCTCTGTCGTTCAGGATGGCGTTCTCGCCCCAGCGCGGGCCTTTTTCTCGCGCGCCCATCCGCCCGCCACCACCGCGCCGCACCGCCACCACCACCACCACCACCACCACCACCACCACCACCACCACCACCACCACCACCACCACCACCACCACCACCACCACCACCACCACCACCACCACCACCACCACCACCACCACCACCACCACCACCACCACCACCACCACCACCACCACCACCACCCCGACAACCACGCACACACGCACGCATGCACGCACGTGCACCACCACCCACTAGCACGCGCGCGCGGAGCCACAGGTCCGCTACGACACGCGTCCGCGGATAGAGAAAATCAGCGCCATGGTAAGGGATGGGAGGGAGGGGTAGGACGTCAGATATGACGCGAGCGCACCTAGCTTGCCCCTCCCCCCTCCCCCCTCCGCCCTCCCTCCCTCCAACCCACCACTCCCCACCAGTCCTCCCTCCTCCTTCACGCTCCCTCCAAATACCCTCACAAACGATTTCACAGCATGACTGCTGCCCCCTCTCTCCCCTGATACTGTTCCCACCCCTACATCGTACAGTTTCTCTTTTTGAACTCAGGATTGCCCCCAGTTGGTGTTCGATATGATACTTTTCCCATCAGAGGGCCCTCTGCCTGCAAAAAGCTGCGTTCTCGCGCTAGCCGCATTGAGTGATATCCAGAGCCTCCGTCCAAGGAACGAAGATCTCGTCGTAGCGCTGGCCTCATTATTGCATTACTGACGGTAGTGTTCCCGCTGCAGGGCTTGCCGCATTCACGGATCTCCGTGCATCCCCCGTCCAAGGGAGCACCGTTCTCGTGGATCTGAAGCCAACGAAGGTCAAAGGAATTTTGCCGTGGGTTTCCCCCCCCCACCCCACACACGTGATAGGCACGGATTTTTGGCACCCGCGTCGGTGGAGTTGGCTCTCCAACGACGTGGTACAGTACATGATCGATGTGTTGCATTGCGCCTCGCGTCGAGCCCGCTTTCCACCTCAGCTGCAGTTTCTCATGTACTTCCCCGCCTCGAAGCCGAAGGGGGGAAGCAGGCTTCTGGGCATGGTTCCAACGCCAACGCGGGTAGCGGAACGGGCTCATGCATCATTGTTCTATGCGTGGGAGAGCTTCATCAGACGGCCGCATGACGCGGCCGCTCCGGTCGGAGGTGCCGATGAGCCGATTTCGCATGTGCGAGACCGATGGCGCAGAGGGGGAAAGAGCAGGTTGCCCACGGGCGTCGGCGCAAGAGAATCGCCCACGCCAAGCAGGGGGCGCGAATGGGTAAAGTCGTCTGGTGCGGTCCCGACCCCCCCCCCCTCGCGCATGGCTCCGCTTGTCTAGGCATGGCCCCAGTAAGCTCAACCGCACCAGACAGCTGGTGGCGGGCAGTCTCGGGTGCGCCGCGGTCGGGAAGGACAGTACCCTTCGGCTGAGGCTGCGCCTCGTCGATCC